CTACAATTGGGACCAGAGTTTCTTTTAGTGGAAAAATCCATAAAGTCATAAAGCGAGTCATCTCATGACTGGAGTCAATTTTACGACCATTTTTTACTGCAGTCATTAAGTGAACCACTAAGGTCTTTTAGTAAATCACACGGTCATTAAGCGAATCTGGCTTCCCCAGTTTGTTTGTTGGAAACCAGTAAAGAAGATTACAAATTGTGACCACATGACCAATCACATAATTGTTAAGATATTGAAGATTTAAGAGCTGACCAGCTGTTGTAAAACTGCTGTAAGGCTGATGCAATGAGGATGAATCAGCATGGTTCTTGCCACTTTAAGACTGAGGATGGGTCCCACAGGGTTTTACCACTTTAAGAAGCTGTCTATATATATATGAGGCCATGAGAGGGCATACCTCTCTCTCCTTGTGTTCTGTCTCCATTGTAATTCTCCATGCAGAGTAAAGAAGATTGCTTGCTTGCCAGATATTTGCCTACCATGTATATGTATGTATATAGCTGTCTTGTATATAAACCACTGTTAAAAGACAAAGCCTCTGTGTGCTGTTTTGCTCCTGGGTTGTCTCACAACAGTAGTCACGCTGCAAACACTGACATGCTGTAACCTTAATAAATGTAAGCTGGTTGCCAAGTACACCTGCATTGTGTTTGTGTGTCTCTCAGGGTGGTGCCAAGCTCATCACTTACAAGTGTGAGGCTGCCCTCACACTGTCATTAAATCGTCATAAATTGAGGACTATTTCTGTATCTCTCTCTCCCAAGCAAGTTGCATGAAGTGCGAAATTCACCCAGGTCCATTCCCCCCCCCTTGTGTAAGTCCGATGGGAAAGTAGGTCAGAGCTGTGACATCTTATATAATATGCTGAGCACTTAAGATACAATGAATTTAAATTATGAACTCACAGAAGAGAGTTTCCAGGGGACAATTCAGATGTGAGCTGGCCAACCAATACTGACACTTGGAATTGGTTTTACAGACCATTTTATTAATCGGAGAATTGAGATCCTGGAGTGTCTCTCTTGCACCACATTTTGTAATTCTTGAAGTTTTCAAAAACCAAAGCTGATCTGGCCTGCTCCCTCCCATTCCTTCAGAGCCTTCTAAGATCAGGTTGCTGTCCTGTGGGCTCAAATCGCACATTTGGCAGCCCATATTTTCATTTTTTGAATATGCACTTGGCAAAATAAGAACGTAACGATCTCCGGCCTCGGCTGAACCCCCGCCAACCCCCAAAAATCTGAAATCGCACTCCAGTGATATTGCTCCAGCCTCTTGAGGCTCTAAGAAGCCAATTTATAAATACATAAATACCATAGCCAGCAAAATAAAACCCCTGACTTCTTGGATGCCAAAAGGTTGCCATCCCTTTTTAAAGTCACTGTTTCTTCCCTTTTATGTTGCTTCCCCCCCTTAACTTGTTTTACTCTACTACCTGACTCACTTGTTACATAGTGAAACTAGAGGTAGTGTTCCGCAGGTTCTGACCAGTTCTGGAGAACCGGTAGCGGAGATTTTGAGTAGTTTGGAGAACTATGCTGCCTACAGTCTGACCTAAGCTTAGTACACAAAATTGTCTGCTACAACGTCCTACCTGTCAATGACTACTTCAGCTTCAACCGCAATAACACACAGGCAAACAATAGATACAAACTCAAAGTAAACCCCTCCAAACCCGATTGCAGAAAACACGATTTCAGCAACAGAGTGGTCAATGCCTGGAACTCGCTACCTGACTCTGTTGTTCCATCCTCAAACCCCCAAAACTTTAACCTTAAACTGTCTACCATGGACCTCACTCCATTCCTAAGAGGTCTGTAAGGGGGCGTGCGTAAGCGCACCAGCGTGCCTACCGTCCCTGTCCTACTCTTCCCATTTATTCGTACCCATTTATTATGTATATATTTATTTATTTTTATTTTTGTCAAATGCTTACAAGATAATAGGTATAAGTAAAAACATAGTTATGAATACATGGATACATATAAGAAAAATAAAAAAAATAGAAGAAACAATAGGATAGGGAGAGTAGGCACGTTGGTGCGCTTATGCACACCCCCTAATTTATACCTGTTTATACTTATAAGTTTATATGTTATGTTCATACTTATACTTGTTTTCTCATATACGCTTGAGAAACTAAACTAAATAAAATAAAATAAACTTTCGCCATGCAAGGAGCATTTGATGATCACCAGAAAATGGCTTTTGTAGGAAAATAGGAACTTGAGGCCAGGTTATGACATTAAATTAGAAATCCTTTCCCACTCTGATCTGCCTGAGAGTGCTGTGAAAACTGGCCGAAGGCATTGTGGCTCACTTTCTAGGGATTCCTGCTGAGATAAACGTTGGCCACTGTTTATATGCCTGCAAAACCTGAAGGTTTCATTTGGGCATTGAATTTATGAATTTATCAGAGTGAACAATATAAATTATAGGTTGCCTAGAGTCTCTAATCCTGGTTTTTTTTTTTTTTTTTTTGGCAAGGTCTGACACCTCCCCCCTCCCAGCTATAGATACTAACATTTGGTAGGCGCAAGGTGTAAAAAAAAATTAGAATTGTTCAGCTTAGGCTTAAAGAACAAAACAGAACAAGTCTAATAGCACCTTAATGATATTTTTAAAACAGCTTTGCATGCACGTGGATTACAGGCATACAGATAGGGAGGTAGTCCTCAATTTACAAGTGTTTGTTTAGTGACTGTTCAAAGTTACAACAGCACTGAAAAAAAATGACTTCTGACTACTTATCACACGGCCGTTGCAAGCATCCTTGATAGTCACATGATCAAAATGTGGATATTTGGCAACTTGCTCATATTCACGACGGTTATGATATCCTGGAATCTTATGATCTCCTGTGGTGATCTTCTGATCAAGAAGATCAGTGGGGAAGCCAGATTCACTTTAACAACCATGTTACAACTGCAGTGATTCACTTTAACAACTGTGGCAAGAAAAGTCGTAAAATGGGCAAAGCTCATTGTACAACTGTCTCATATACCAACAGAAGTTTTGGGCTCAATTGTGGTCATATGTCGAGGACTACCTGTAGCTAGTTAATATATGTACTAGTGCAGGGGTCAGCCACCCGCAGCTCTGGAGCCGCATGTGGCTCTTTCATCCCTCTGCTGCGGCTCCCTGTCACTAGTTGGCTCCACAATTGATAGGACTTTCAGTTAGGACAGGGAGAGGAAAAGGGATGATGTGCTAGGAGGAAACTCTATGGTAGGAGGAACCGGACTTCTGGTTGGCTCCAGAATTGAACAGGGACTTCTTGTTAGGATCTTTGTGCCTCTTTGAATGCTTAAAGTTGCCGACCCCTGTACTAGTGTAATCAAATGAGTCTTATGTTGAGTCCACAAGAAATGGTGTTGACTGTTTTCCTGCTGGTGGGTTTCATAATGAAACTATTCTTTGTGATTCAAGGACTTATTTTTCACTTCTAGAACAATTTTGTCTCTCACCTTTGCTTTTTACTCTTTCTTTCTTTTGCCTTGCCTCTCCATCAACAGCTCCATGCATTTGTGTGTGGGTGTGAGAGTATATAAACTGCCTTTTTTTTTTATTACCACCATATCCTCTACAATCCCTGGAAGCCAAGTGATTTTTTTTTTTTAAGTGTGGTGGTCCCCTAATTGTAAAACTGTTTTCCACCTCTGTTATGTATCAATTATGTGTTGCATACCAGGATTAGGAAGGAAAAAAACCCCATTTGCTCCATGTTTTGAAGTAATCTAATTTAATTCACTCCAAAGAGGCAGATTGGAACAATTATCCTTTGGTTCATGAAGATTCTCAGTTTTGCAATACTATTAGTCTAAAAGTAGCATTCAAAAACTGTGTGCATTGGGAAGAGCCTCACACGGGTGTGTATATTGAACAGGATTGTTTGCCAACAGAGATACCGTAAATGGGTACAAAATCCAGATGTTAGGGAAATTATGTGTGCGAAAAAGAAACGATGTGGTTTTCCACATATTTCTTTTGAAAAACAATGCGGGCTAATGAGGACATGAGAACAGATTTTTGGGTGTGTAGAATGGCCAGCCTTTCCCCCAGTTGTGGAAAGAAATATATGCATGGACCCAGCTCTGCTAATTGAATGAGCATTAATCAAGCACTCTGTTTGCATGTAGGAATCAGGAAAAGGAATGTGCAGTTACATGAGTTGCTGCTCATAATTGATTACCGTCTATCCATTTGCTGCTTGTCCACTGTTTGACCCAATTTCTGTCATACCATTTTATTCTTCAGCTGTGGCAGGCTATACAGCCCAACAGACCCCAGAGAAGGAATGCTGGATAGGAATGATGGTGCCGCACACACTTTGAACAGAACAGGTAAGTAGCTGTACCTGACGATTGAGCTTGGCATGGGATGGGACTCTGCTTTTTGTCAGCTCTGGAAGCCATCTTAGAATCAGAAGCTTCCATGCTGCCACATTCCTGTGCCTGGGAAAGTAGAGGGTTGGATTTTAGAGTGTTGGTAGTTAGACATAATAGCATTCTTCTTTTCTGTCAAGTCATGTTATTCCTACATTTGGAGTTGGAGTGATTGGAGGGATGTCCCAAGTTGTGATGGTTGGTGATTGGACCATATGATGGACTGATGGGTGCAGGGCTTGTGTTTTGAATTTTGAATTACTAAGGGAAAACCCGGAACTCTCAGATTCAGGTTTTCCCAGATGTGCCAGTATAATTATTCTAATAAAAGGAAACTTTGAGAAAATGCCTGTTGGAGTTTTTAATTGGAGTTGGGTTTTTCTGGAACCCTGACAGGGAATCTGCTTCGGTTGGTCCAAGGGAAAGAGATTTTGTCCTCAGTTGGGTCCTAACAGCAGGTGGGTTTTCATTTTAGATGATCCTGCGCAGGCCACCTCCGACTATGAGACGAATAACAGCGACAGCAGTGACATTGTGCAGAATGAAGACGAGACATCTTGTGCCAAGGAGAAGAGCCAGGCGGGCCCGCACTGCAGGACGTTTGCCCCAGAGACGGTCATTTTGCATCCTTTGCTGCCTGTGGAGGTATCCCATTCACTGTTGAACCTAGCAGGACCTCACCAATGTACCTGAGAATGCTTAGAAGGAGATGTAGACATTGTAAGAGGAGAGCTGTTTTAGTCCATGGTAGCCCAAAATTAAAAAGAGTCGAAACAAGAGCCAAGTCAATATCATAGCACTGCAACCTGCCAGGACAGTCCCATTACAGATCTCAAAGCAGCCATTTTGGAGGAAGGAAACCCTGTTCCTGGAAAGTGGGCAGAGAAGAGCAAACAAAGATGAGAAAGAGTCTGGAGACTAAATCGTGTAATGAACGTTACAGTTGAGGGAGCTAGATGTGTCTAGCCCAGGGGTCCCCAAACTTGGCAACTTTAAGGCTTGTGGACTTCAACTCCCAGAATTCCTCATAGCTGGCTGAGGAATTTTGAGAGTTGTAGTCCACAAGTCTTAAAGTTGCTAAGTTTGGGGACCCCTGGGCTAGCCAATCAAAGAGAAGGTTGTGGGGACATGATAACTGTCTTCCAGTACTTGAAGAGCTGTCAGAAGAGGGGATCAGTTAATTCTCCAAAGTACCAGAGGGCAAGACAAGAAGTAATGGGTGGAAGTTTATTAAAAAGAAATCCAACTAGAAGAAGAGATTTCCTGTCAGTGAGGACAATCAATCAGTGGAATAGTTTGCCTCCTGGGGTTGTGGGTGTCCCAATGCTGGAGGTTTTCAAAAATAGACTGGACAACCATTTAACTGGGATGGTATAAGACTCCTGTCTTGAGGAGAGGTTTGGACTAGAAGACACAAGAGGCCCCTTCCAACCTTATGATTTTAACTTTAACAGCAGTTGAATGAGAGACAGCTGAAAAAGTTCAGACTTTCCAGAAGCCTCAACAAACACAATAGGTTTTTAACATATTATGATTGATAGGATACTTAAAATTTGTCTCACATATAACCTGCATACGCACAACCAACCAGTTTTCCCCTCCATTCCCCCCTCCTCAGTCCAATTTAAATCCAAAATTGCTTCAGCAACTCCACCCATCTGATCATTTGCTGCAGCTTATAAAGCTTATGCCATCTAAGAAAATCCATTAACCAGAACAGTCTGTAGAGTCTTGAAATCAGCATTTGAAAAAAAATAAGTCCATTGTTTTTGTTTTGTTTCCTTTTGTTTGTAAAGCTGGGGTTTCAACACATGTTCTGTGTTTATCATATTTGTATGCCGCATGCTTACAGTCAATTTCCAAATTCCATTTGTGTACATCTGGTTAAAAGAAAGAAAGGAAAATATGTTGCTAAACCCTCAAAACCAATTCACTAGTTGGTGTAGTATAAACAATTTCTAAATAATCAAATGTTCAGGTTTGTTCTCCTTGCCATCATAGGAGATGATACAGAGCTATACAATCTTTATCAAAAGATATAAATAAGCTTCATATGATGACAGCCTCCTGGCTGTGTTCCTTGAAGTTCTCTGCTGATTTAGCAAGACTTCTTGTCAGGCACGAAGGATCAGGACTACACATTAAGTTCCAGTTAAGCTGATTTATTTATAGACAGTAATCTAGTCACGTAATGATCAGCACTAAATGTGTAGATCAGAGACAACAGAATTCAAGAGGGGTTGGACCATTTGTGGAAATGTAATGATTCTAGGCTGATGACTTGCTTAACACCACCCCTCAGGCCCTGCCTGCTTTTCCTATACTTGTAAGACCAGTCAGTTAACTTTCACTTTGAGGAACCAAAGAGTTTCTGATTATGATTTGGGTTGAGGATCTTCTGGAGTGGGAAGGTCTAAATCAGGGGTCTCCAACCTTGGCAACTTTAAGACTTGTGGACTTCAACTCCCAGACTTCAACTCTGGGAGTTGAAGTCCACAAGTCTTAAAGTTGCCAAGGTTGGAGACCCCTGGTCTAAATATTTAAGATGAATACTGAAGATGCTCAGTAGCTCCAGAACATTGACTGATGAATATGAGAGCATACAGTGGAAAAGCGAAAATGCAGAATCTTAAATCTTAAACATCAGCACTTCATTTTGTTCCTCATTTACCTTCTTTTGGGAACAAGGTCATCATCCTTTGTAAGCACCATCCCATAGCCCATTTTACTTCGATAACTATGGTAAAGTCAAACTTGGCTCCTGGTGGCTTCATCCATACTTCTGTGTAGGTTTCTGAGCAATGGCAGTAGGAAGAGTAATTTATGTGTATCTTCTTTTCAGATGGATTTTTATCTATCTAATCTAATGTCATCTGATCTCAACTAAACAAATCTAATCAAATCTAATCTAAATGGTCACCCACCTCATACAAGGTGGCTCTTGTTGATGTACAATAAGGTGAACTATTAAAACTGAACATAAAAGCCAATGACAGCAAATAATTAAAATAAGGAAAAACAACATTGCAAGAGAGTTAAGATGTTATACATGGTGCAGCCAATGCACAAGCTCTCTGCTTCCAAGGGATGCCAAGGCCTGATGGGAAAAAAACCCACACATTTTGAATGTTCTCCAAAAAGCCAAAATGGCTAGGACTAACCTTACCACTCTAGGCCTGATTTTTCTCATAGTTTCCTATCCCTCCCATGCTAATGAGGTATGAGCCTATCACAGATTCTTTTCTGTATACCCAGGTGAGTGGGCTCCAAAATGAAAGAGAGCCAACACAACCACATAGGTTTCTAGGCAACACCACACAAGCATTCAAAGACTAATACTTACTCCTGACTATTCTTCCCCAGTTCTACTATGGCTCTTAACACTGCTCCTCTACCACTTCTCCTTATGAGTTCTACAGCTTGAGAACAGTACCTGTTTCTATTAGCCAAAGGATGCTTCAGGCTTTATTTCAATAAATTACCACAAATCACTTTCCATCTCCCTCTCCCTCTGACACCAATGCCACTCCATCACTGCTAGTTGTTTCTCTGTTCAGCTTTTATAGCTACCAGTTGTTGTGCTGGCTAGGGAGAGGTCTTGAACAGTGGACAACTATGGTCCCTTTATGATCTGTGGACCGTGCTGGCTCAGGAATTCTTGGAGTTGAAGTCTACAGTTCATAAAGGGGCCATAGTTGCCCACCCCTGCCTTAAAGGGACAGGGCACTATCAGGCCAGGCGGCGGCCATTTTCTAGGCAGCCACCTTAGTTTTTTGAGTTCAGACAAAGTACAGGATAAAAATAAGATATAGATGAGTTTTCTATTCCAGTTAGCTATTTAGATTGGTACCATTGCAGAGATACAGAGATAGCCATTGGGATTGGGCACCTATGGGGATTAATATTTAACTCATTTCAATTGCTTTATTTGTTCTTACTGTGTTTTATTGTTTTTGCACTGTAAACTGCCAGGATATTATGGGATGCTGTGGTCCGGGAGAGTTAGAAATAAAGACAAAAAGAAACATTCTAAGCAACACCCATAAAAAAAAAACTGTCAAAATGGAGAAAAATAGTTTGACAGATGGAAGTAATTTGAAACAGTTGTGAACAATTGCTCAAGAATCCCCAGGTGGCCTAAATTAAGCTTATAAATATTCCCATTTAGTGCATCACTAATGAAGTCTCAGAAATGGTGCAAGAATCCCGGGTGATGATTTTGAAAGCATATATTGGTTATCTATCCTTTGAATTGCAGAATTCAAAAGCTAACAACTAACATTAGGAACGTAGTGTTCACTAGGCTGAATTTTCTCCTTGCAAACGTTTGATTAGCAAATGGCCTTTGCTATGGACCCTGCCTATAAATTACTTCAAATAAAGAAAAGCCAAAGAGGGGAAGCAAATAGCCTGAGGCACATCTTTCTTATCCCACACCCAACAGTCAACACGTATATAAGGTGGGGAGGGAAACCCAACACAACAATCTAAGATGAAACAATGCAGCCAACTGAGCCAGTAACAGCCACGCAGGCACTATAACTATTCCGATCAAGACTGGTAGGTCAAAGTGCCCCATACAAAAAGCCAAGTGACCCCACTGCCGTGTGCCACCTACTTTGATAATGAAATATTTGCAAGACTAAACTTAGTGAACGCCCAAATCCCAACATTCCCCATATATTTTCCACTCAAGATAAGTAAGCCAATGTCAAAAACAGAAACCACTAAAGGAAAGGAAGGAAGAATAAAAATTCCTTTTAATTCAAGGCAAGAGGAAACATAAATAAACATCTGTACTCAATATTTCTGTCCGGGATGACACTTGTTTAGACACAGATAATCTATTAGGAAAAATATTTTTAATGCAACTAATTAATAGGGACCAGATTGGAAGAAAATGCCCTCTGTTATAAATTTTTCAAAGCTCATTTCTATGTCAGTTTTTTAGCCACAGCTATGACAGATGACAAAGTGACATTTTCAAAGGCCATCAGCCTGGTGGGAAATGAATTTTAATTTTCCAGGGTTTTGCAATAACAAACTTAACAACCAGCAACTGAATTTGAATCAATTTTGTACATGGCAGCAACTGATAGAAAACATAAGACAATCAGCCATATACAGGATTCAATACAGAAAATGTGGATTTTCGTTGTTGCTGTTTTCAACCACAAGAACTGGCTACTTATGCATCGCTACCAATGATGGCAAAAATGGGTGAATTCTCTTATAATTCTACCAACTCTGTAAAGATGACGGTTGACACTGTGATGATAGCAATGTATTTTTCTTTGTGGTCAATCCTTGATGATCCCTTGAAATAAAAGAACTGAAGAAGCTCCTTAGATGAGAAGCGAAACACCTTCAAGAAAAAAACAAAGGAAGTCAATTTGCCTCTTTTAAAAGCACCTTTGGAAAAAATATGGCCTGGATGACTGAGAATCTCTATAGACATCCCTTGAAGTAGATCTAAAATGAATTCTTTGTTACAGAGAGGCTCAATGATATTCATTGTTTGAACCTCCCAATCATCTTCTGGAGTCCTGAAGACAGTCTGTCACACTATACCTAGCTACATTATCTAGTACATATATGTTTGAATACTCATTCATCATGGTTGGCAAAACATTTTGAATTTATGCACGTCAAAAACTCGATTTTGAGTTCAAATCAGCTGTTCCCACCTTACCCAAAATTTTCCAATATAGTTTTGGCCATTCTAAAAGAATCTGGTGCTTGAAACGCTTCGGTGAGAAGAACATGAGAAGAATTTGAGAAGGTTAGAACGATTCATATGAAACTCAAAACCCCACCTCCCTCCATCTTGTTCTGCCCCCAAAGAAGGATGCTTTGATTATAAATCTTTTGTTATTTGAAATGGGTGGTTGCACCCTGTCTTCTCCAGCATTTCATCATTTTTCATTTCCACGTTGAGGGTGATTATTTGGAGAATCGGGAGATTTCTGGAGGCCCTACTTAAGGCCTGCAACCTTCCCAAGGGAACGTAGGAATTCAAAATAGAGAGTTTGTCTCTCAATCCTCCACTTTCCAACCCAGTTTGAATTCAGAATAACAACAATAACAGCCCCTGCCAAACAGCAATAACTCTCACTCCAGGATGGTTCTGACAGCTGCTGTTTTTTTTTTTCTTTGTAACTACGTAAAACCTCTTAGCTTTGCCCAACTTATGAACATAAAACACTTCTGTAGATGGTCTTCCAACAGTACTCTACAAGGCCAGAACATCTTCTGTTTAGCACTACCTGACTGAAGTCCTCTCAATTCCTACAAGGTCTTTTCCTTTTTTACCTGGATCTGTTGGGCAGTGCTAGTTCTAAGTTCCTTTGGCAATTTGGTTTTCTCTCTTTTTTACGTTTTTTCACCTTTCCAAATCAATTGTCTTCTTTTGTGGAGCCAACTTTGTGTCTGCTCAATAAAATTCAAGGGACAAGACACTGACATCAAAGAACTATATGCTGAGAATCTTTGGGGGATTAACTGTGGGTTTCCTTTGAAGGAGTGTAAGTTCATCAACTATCCAATTTCCCTACCCAACATGGTAACCTATGTGATAGTTTGACCTTGGTACCATCTGCTGAAAGAACATATCATGATATGCTTTAAGAGAGAACTTCTCACCACTTCCTTCTTCATGTTTTTTCCCATAGTAAAGAGGCACCTCCAATGCACTTGCTGCATTTTGATGCAAATATTTCATTTTTTTTTCATTTACAGATTTCAACAATAATCAATCAGTTATATTCTCCTTCATCTTCCAAAGAAAGAAAGTGCTAGATATTTTCATCTTTTTCAGATCTAAAAGGCTACTAAGTTTGGGTCTTTTAATATTCTCATTTAACAGTGGACTTTATACCGCATTTTGATGCAGCATCAAAATCAAGAAGAGGGCGATCATAGGTGTTTGATACTGTTTAAAATAAACAGACTTCCAAAACGAGGAGGAGAACATAGTGTCTGTCAGATTTCATAGGAAAGATGTCCCTGTAGGGGACACCTTTGAACTACAATTCCCATAATCACTATTTGCCATTGGATATGAGTTTAAATCCAAAACGTCTGGAAGATACTGAATGTGTGTGCCTCTTTTATATAGGAATTAATTCTGGGAATCATTACAACTTTCAAGATCAAATCTCTCTAATTGTAACAAGATGCTTTAACTGTATTTTCTTCTTACAGCTGTACTGTATTTGCATACTGTGCTTTAAGCAAGTTACTGGGACTCTTTCTCTCTTAGAAATGGCAGCATATTAGGTCAGAAAATGGACTAACTTGACACAATGTTCAGACAACTCATTTAAAAATAAAAATCGAAATGAAACCCTAATTAAAATTTACATTTTGCTACTGGAACTGATTAAGGGTGTTTCTGTTTGAGAAAACAGCAAATTCATTTTAGTTATTTATTATTAGAATTTGTTCATTATTAGAATAATGAATAACAATTGCAAGAATTGGGTATGTCTAATTAATGGAAAGAAGCACTACAAGTAACATGATAGCAGTCTCCCAATATCTAATGTGCTGCCACAAAGAAGAAGGGAGGGGTCAACCTATTCTCCAAAGCACGTGAAGTAAGGACAAGAAGCAATGGATGGGGATTTTTCAAGAGGCAACTGGATTTTGTGACAACCATGACCTGGGCAACTGAGAATCTCCATTGACAATGGATGAAAACTAATCAAGGAGAGAAGCAACCTAGAACTAAGGAAAAATTTCCATACATGGAGAACAATTAATCAGTGGAACAACTTGCCTCCAGAGGTTGTGGATGCTCCAACACTTTTTGTAAGAAGAGATTGGACAACCATTTCTCTGAAATGGAATAGGACTTCCTGCCTAAGCAAAGGGTTGGACTAGAAGACCTCCAAAGTCCCTTCCAACTCTGTTAGAAGTGATTTTACCTTGATATTACCTCTGTCAAATCAGCTGTTGCTTTCAGAACTTGGTTTGCAAGCTGAGATTATATCATACTTTCCCAGTTCATGTGTAAGGAAAACCAGTTTAGAACTAGGAATCTATTGAGTTTAGCCAGCTCAGGAAATGGTACCCTGAAAACCTTTGAGAGCTGGATCAACATTCTTTTGGTTCACTTTTTTGTTATTTGTTTGTTTATAGGTTGCTATAAAAGGTTGCTTTTCCCATTTTTTACATTTGGGATGTGTTTGTTGGTTATCTGTTACAGGAAAAGCCTATCCTTGCCCCCGAGCCTCTAATAATGGACAATTTGGACCCATTAATGGAGCAACTAAACAGTTGGAATTTCCCAATCTTTGATTTGGTAGACAAAACCAACAGGAGATGTGGTCGGATTTTAAGTCAGGTAAGAAATTAGATGTTCTATAAGATTTACCTCAGAGTTCTGCTTTTTATAATGCGTCCTTCTCGAGATCACCGATCCTAATCCAGAGCTATTTGAATGCAGAGATTTCTGTTTCTTTCTGTTCTAGTGTTATGTGGGAATCAAATATTACAGCTTTCTGATTCATACGAACCCATCCAGTGTGGCTCCTCTGATAAGCCATGATTTAAATCCTAGCTGAGTCATAAGTTTTTATTTTTATTTATTTGATTTGCCAATTGTTTACAAGATAATAAGTATAAGTGTATACATAGTTGTGAATACATGAAATGGGTACATATAAGAAAAATAAAAGAAGAATAAGAGAAACAATAGGACAGGGACGGTAGGCACGTTGGTGCGCTTATGCACGCCCCCTACAGACCTCTTAGGAAAGGGGTGAACTCAGGTGCAAAGTTTCTATTGCTGTATGCCAGGTTAGGAAACAAGCATTGCCCAAACACCAAGAATTAGATCCAGGCCTTTTAAGAAGGATTTTGAGAAACAAAATATATTTTGTTAAAGAAAGCTTTAGCAGTTATTAACACTGGAGAAGAAGAGACTTGTTAGTTATGCTAGCAGAAACGAGGAATGTGCTAGCACCTTTTCTAACTGACACATTTTATTCAAAGGTGCTAAAAAAAATTCCAACTAAAATACGTTAGTTGGAAAAGGCGCTACCAGATTTCTTCTAAAATGGTGGTTTCGAATCGGTTTTGAAAAAGAAAATAGCCCACGCACTACTAGGGAAACCTTTGGCTCTAGCACAGGCAAATGTGTAAAAAGAGGTTTCTTTTTTCATGCAAAAAAAATGGTGAGTAGGAAGAGTAAACCTTAGTTCTGCTTGATGGCAAGCTGTGTGCTTAGATAATGTCTTAATTTTCACTTACTGTTAGACTAATAATGCCCCTGGAGGGATATAACACATTTTGCTGAAAAAAAAGAAGGGATAGAGTGGAAGGCTGCCACTAGAAAGATTAAAGCCAGACTTCCATTTAAAAATAAAGTTAAATTTCACTGCACCTTCTTGTAAAACAAGAAAAAAAAATAGCAGCTTCTCGGCCAGCGGGTTTCCAGATTCTAGGAAAAACTGCTGGAATGAAATTCACAGAGGTGGCGGCTGCAGATAAGAACTTGGTAATGAGCGGAGAGTGATTTGTTTGGCTTAGGTCCCTAGGAAATTGGTTTGACTCGGAGGAAGCCAACAACCTTAATCAAGAAATCAGATTTTGGGCGTCAACTGCAGTCCATCAGCAATATTTGCTGTGCTGGAGCTGATGTCTTATTAAAACCAATAACAGTTCAAAAATTGCACGATCATCACACCTGGTGGGTGTGTTTATATTCCAGATGAGATCTCGGGTAGGAAGGTACAAGCTGCAAGATCCTCCTGTGAGTATGTATGTATGTGTGTGTGTGTGAGAGAGAGGCAGTTTGGTCTAGTGGTTAAGGCACCAGGCAAGAAAGTAAGAGACCGTGAGCTCAAGTCCTGCCTTAGCCACGAAAGCCAGCTGGATGAACTTGAGCCAGTCACACTGACCCAGCCTGTTCTGACCCAGCCTTCACGAACCCCACTCAACAGCCTACTTGTGAAGAAAAACAAACAAACACCCTTTTATTAGAAAGGCAGGAATTCACAGCATGACAAAGCTCCAGGTCACACATCCATAGGTGATTCATAAGACTAACAGTCTCTTGAGTTGTCCCCAAGGAGTCTCAATTAGCACTTTAATCCCAATACGGAGAGTCCTGACCAACCTGGGTCAGAGAACTCTTCTGGAGCATGAATGGTTGTCTCTGACAACCATGCCTCCCACACCTCTCCTCCTTATATCCTAGCCAGGGAGCGGCTTGTTAACGTGTCTCCTTCTTTTCCTGGATAGCTGGCCCTTGTTAAGCCTGGATTCCCCAATGGGTGTTAAGGAAAACAAACTAAACAGAATGTGCAGCGAAGTCAGATAGGAAGACAGGTAAATGTGTGAGATAAGTTTTCTAGTTAACACGCAGTAAAAATACAGATACGCTTGTGCTATCAAGAATATAGTTTATTCCATTTAAGAATTATAGCATAGTCAAATAAACGGTCCATTAGTCATATATCAATTTCAGTCAAGTCTTGTCGGGGATACTCTATTTGCAAAGTCCGTGTTGAATAGCCAATGTCAGTACACTTACAATAAATCAGTCTTTATCTTCTCTCCGTTGAGAAATATCAACACTCCTACAAGAACGCAGTCATCAATCCATCCAGTAATTATCCCTAACAGCCCTCAATCCTGCATTGCTCTCCTCTCCGCACTTCTCTGCACATACGCTCATATGGGACAGGGCCCAGATGTTCCTCGTTCAGCTCAGGGGCCCAAAAACAGCTGTCTCTCCGCCTGAGCCATAAGTAGATGGGCCCTGCTCTGCATCTGGCTCTGAGGCCTCATGCTCCTCAGAGCCTTCTGCCAGCTCCAATGGTAACCCAGGCACTCCCTCTGTCTCCTCTGACTCAACTGCCACCTTCGCTGGCAATCGACAAACCACAACACAACACAACCCTCCCCACAGGGTTTGTTGCTGTTGTGATGGGGAAGATAGGAGGAGGAAGATGTGTTGGGTATGTTCGCTGCCTTCAGTTATTCAGTAAAAATAATAAAAGAGGGATATAAATGAATAAGATTCTGGACCTCTCAAGAGAGACGAGTTGGTTTAAGATTTGTGGGCTACTTGCAGTCCCAAGTTGTCCATCCTGTTATCAAGCCCGTTTTTACAAACCACAAAACTAAGTTTGTGCGTTACTGTAGATTGTTCCAAAATGAAGCCCAGATATAAGGTTTCGTACAGGTAGTCCTCAACTTACGACCACCATTGGGCCCAAAATTTTTATTGTTAAGTGAGAAATTTGTTAAGCAAATTTGCCTCCATTTCATGGCTTTTCTTGCCACATTTCTTAAGTGAAGCAATGTGGTTGTTAAGCGAATGGGGCTTCCGAAGGTTGCAAAAAAAGATCCCATGACTCCAGGACATTGCAACTGTCATAAATGTGAGTCAGTTGTCAAGCATCTAAATATCAATCACATGACTTTGGAGATGCTGCAGTAGTCATAAGTGTGAAAAACTGTCATAGGTCACTTTTTTTCAGTGCCACTGTACCTTTGAATGGTCACTAAATAAACTGTTGTAAGTCGAGGACTATCTATCTGTACAGTGTATCTCTAGCCAGCTATAGCAAAGGCTGTGAAACCATTTTTATCTGCTCAATCTGTTTTAAATCGTTTAGTTTAGCTTAGTTTATTGTCATTGCAGCTTGCACTTTGTACAACGAAATCAAACACCATCTTCAGGGCACATCACGAGCGTGAAAATAACACATCCTTCACACTACACGCATTGAACTGAAAACACGCAACACCACACCAACACGGCACTATACAGCAGAATTCAAAAGAGCTACTGCCCTGGGATAGAAGCTGTTTTCCAGCCTCTTTGTCCTTGTTTTTATTATCCTGTACTGTCTGCCAGATGGTAATAGTTCAAAAAAAAAAAAAAAAAAGAGTTCCCAGGATAAGATGGATCTTTGAGAATGTTTTGAACTTTGTTAAGGCAGCGGGAGCTATAAAGCTCTTCCAAAGAGGGGAGAGGGCAACCAAGGATCCTCTGGGCAATGATATTAACCCTCTGGAGAGCTTTCCTATCTGCCCCTGTGCAATTGGCAAACCATACACAGGTGTGCAATAAGTTAAGATACTCTCTATGATGCAGCGATAGAAGGTCACCAGCAGTTTTTCATTCAGTTGTTGTTTTCTGAGAAGTCTCAGGTAGTATAACCTCTGCTGGGCCCTTTTGACCAGTGCTGCAATGTGAGCACCCCAGGTCAAATTTATAAGAATAAATTAAATTTATAAGAATAAATTTAAATCTGTTAAACTTATCTGTGCTAATGGCCGTTAAACCATCTTTTATTCATTCCATTGGGAGGGACAGGCCTAGAACCCAAAGTGGTATATTCTGTATAGGGGAGGTGGGGTGTCCCTCAACTTAACAACTACAATTGGGCCCAGAATTTTTGTTGCCAAACAAGGCAGTTGTTAAGTGAGTCGCGTCCAATTTTGCCATGGTGGCTAAGAGAATCCCTGCCTTTCTTAAGTGAACTATGCAGTCATTAAGTGAATCCAGCTTCCTCCATTGATTTTTCTTGTCGGAAAAATCTGGGAAGGTCACAAATGACGATGACATTATTCCAGGACATTTCAACCATGCCGGTTGCCAAGCTCCCAAATTTTGAATATGTGATATTGAATGGATGCTGTGATGTAAGGGTGAGGACTCCTCATGAGTCACTTTTTCAGGGCTATTGAAACTTTGAACACTTGCCAAACAAATGGTTGTAAATCAAGGTATGGACTTCCCATATATAAATTGCAACCATAAATTGTTTGTCTTCCCTGAATTGAACAAGGTGTCCACCAGAACTTTTATAGATAGAAGGCAGAGCAAATACTGTTCCTAAATGGAGCAAAGCCTTGTGTCAGACGGAAGAAACCGGGAGGCAAGGGAGTTTAAATGACTACAGGTTTATTGCATGCTAACACTCTCTGCAAGAATCTGAACTACTAACTACTGAGCTACTAACGGTTAAAGAAAATTGACAGTAGATAAGAGTCAACGGAATTCAAGATGGGCTGGACTTTGATTTCTTGTTGGTATGAAGGGACTCAAGACTGATGATACACTTGATGCCTCCCTCCGACTCAGTCTGGTCATCTCCTACAGCCAATTTAAGCTTGGAGATAGTCTGAAGACCTAGGAGTGGTGCAGCGGCCTACAGGTGAAGCTCTCGCCTCACAATCAGGAGGCTGTGAGTTCAATCCTAGGTAGAGGTAGATGTTTCTCTCTCTGGGCACACTGAGAATATATGTGCTGAACAAAACTCTGCATTGGTGACAGGAAGGGCATCCGGCCAGTAAAACACTCTGCTAGCTCCATCCAGTTGTCCAGACTCCACCCCGCAAGGGATTATGGGGTCGTTAAATGATTATGATAATAATCTGAAGATCTAGATTTACCTGTCAAAGATAGCCAACCCCTAGTTCTAAGAATGATGGTTCCTTTTCTTTATTTTCCAGGTATCCTATAGGCTATTTGAGGATATGGGTCTCTTTGAAACTTTTAAAATCCCTATACAAGAGTTTATGAACTATTTCCATGCCTTAGAATGTGGATATCGGGAGATACCTTGTAAGTTCAATAGTATATTCTTTGCTATTGCCTGATTCTTTTATTTTTCATTTCTCTTATTTTTTTAATCATAGCACACACTTATTTGCCTTCACTGCCCATAGCAGATTACTTCCAAGCAGGTTTTTTAAAAATAAAACCCTTGGCTATTATTAAAACAAAATCTATACAATGTTTAGTTCAATCACATTTTTAAATAATCCAGGGGCATTTCTGTAATTCATCAGTGAAGACTTTCTGAATAAGAAAGTTTTCCTCTATCGTCTTAAAAGTCTGGTAGCAGATGATAGCTGTGATTTTTTTTTAAAGTACCTTTTATTTAAACTTTAATGTTAGAATGCCATAGAGGAATTTTAATATTGCAGTGAATATCATTTGACTGATTCTTAAAGGTGGAAACCGGGAATAAATCAACATTCTCACCTGTGGCCAGTAGATGGTGCTGTTACCTCCCCCCCATCCATCCTCAAATACAACAAACCTGTCTCTCTTAACAGATCATAACAGAATTCATGCTACTGATGTCCTCCATGCTGTCTGGTACCTTTCGTCCCAGCCCATCCCTGGCCTCCCAACTATGATTAATGACCATGGATCAGCAAGTGATTCAGGTAATGTTATGAAAAGGTCTGGCTGCCATGAACTGCATTTTTTTTGTGCTGTGTTGTTACAGATCAGGGATGCCAGGGTTCGTGGGCTGAATCCGGCCCGGAGGGGAGGTGCTTAGAACTGGCCCACAGGGCCACCCTGGAAACAGTGAAAGAGCAGCCTGCAATGCCTCTGTGCAGCCTCCCAAGCTCCATTTTCTCTGGCAGAGGCTTGCAGGAGGCTGTTGTAGCCAAAAACGGAGCTCAGGAGCCCATTTTCTCTGGCATAGCGCTTGGGCCATCACAGGCACCCCCAACACAAGTGATGTCAAGATGGCCACGCCCAGCCTGGCCATACCGCCCCCCCACCCTCCCAAGGTCAAACACAACTCTGATGTAGCTCTCAATGAAATGGAGTTTGATATCCCTGTTACAGATAGTCCTCAATAGACAACCATAATGCAGCCTGCTCATTATGGTCATATGCTATGATGGTTGTGAAAAAACCATGATTTATGATTTATTTATTTTTTTGGTGGCAGTTGTAAATGTCAAAGCCCGCTGTCCTAAGTGTGAACCCATTATTCACTATGGGTGCAGTTTTGCTAAAAACCAGAAGGCTGGAAAACCATCAGATGCAATCATGTCACTGTGGGACACTGCAAACGTCCATAAATGTGGCCATATTGTCCAACACCCAAAGCGTGATCACACGATTGCAGTTCAGGTGAATGTCAGAACTGTAATGCTTCTGTAGTGGCTGTATCTTCAGAATTTGACCAAGCAGACAGTCTACCAAACACACCTTTTGAAACAGATACAGCTATTTTAAAGGCGCCCATTTCACTCCTAATCCCCAGTTGTGGGTTCTATGTTTGGAACACGGTCCATAATTTGCTGCAGAAAGCTCACGCTGTTGACCTCAAGCCACTAGAACCTCTAAATTAGGTTCTGTAGGAGGTCTTGGACACACATGGGTCCTTGTAATATTGCAGAGGATGATTCCCAGCAGTCTGTGCATGGACCACGTTGGTTGGAGCTATCAGAAATTGGTAGGCACTCCACAAGTTAAGATCAATTCATATAAATCATTGCTGTCCAGCTTCCTAGATGCTTGCAGCTGAGAATCATATATATTAAGTAAGTCAAATTGTAGATGCATTCAGTTGTTTGCACAGCTATGTCTCTTTGGTGATGGTGATAGAAGGACTCATTTAGTTATAATTCTAGAGATGACTTACTTAACCACGGGTGTCAAACTTGATCGCATCACATGATGTATCACGATGGGGTTTTTTGCCTTTGCAGACCTGGGAGTGTGGCCTGTGCCAGTGGTGGGATTCAATTATTTTTACAACCGGTTCTGTGGGCATGGCTTGGTGGGCTTGGTGTGTCATGGTGGGCATAGCAGGGCAAGGATACTGCAAAATCCCATTCCCTCCCCACTAACCTGCTTTCCAGCTCTGTTCTCCTGTGCAGGGCAACAAAATCAGCTGGGACTCCGGAGGCAGAGAATAGATGGGGGCGGGCCCAGTCAGAGGTGGTATTTGCTGGTTCTCCGAACTACTCAAAATTTCCGCTACCGGTTCTCCAGAACTGGACAGAACCTGCTGAATACCCACCTCTGACCTGTGTATGACGCATCCAGCCCGCGGGCCGCCAGTTTGACACCCCTGCAGTAGACCCTTGTAAAATGGTATGTTTGATTGAGCCAGGCTAGTGAGCCCAAAGAAATATTGCCTCTGTAAGAAACAGTCTCTGAATAATCTGATTTCCTGCCCAGATTCAGATAGTGGGATCCCTCACAGCCACTTGGGATACGTATTGTCAAAAACGTACACGCCAACAGATGACAACTACGGGTGCTTGGCGGGCAACATTCCATCCCTTGAATTGATGGCCCTCTATGTAGCGGCTGCCATGCATGACTATGATCACCCAGGGAGAACCAATGCCTTCTTGGTGGCAACAAGCGCTCCTCAGGTAAATGGGCTGGGATTGCAGGAACACCTTGCTTATACAGCTAAGAATAAGAAAGAACCTTATAGCGCTTTTTTCAGGCTACCAGATTTTATTCTAGGGCAGTGGTCTCCAAACTTGGCAACTTTAAGAGTTGCTGGACTTCAGCTCCCAGAATTGAAGTCCACAATTCTTAAAGTTGCCAAGTTTGTATAGGGAATTCTGGGAGTTGAAGTCCACAACTCTTTAAGTTGCCATGTTTGGATGGGGTATTCTGGGAGTTGAAGTCTACAACTCTTAATATTGCCAAATTTGGAGAAACCTAGAGCATAAGGTTTTGTGAGCCGCTCTCTTCATCAGGTGTGTGGAACAACTAAAGCTGTTATATGTAATTAGTAATTTGGAAAATTTGATGGAGTTCACGGATCATATTCAGTAGTCCTTGCTTAACGACTACTTACTCGGCAAGTATTTGTAGTTACAATGGTGCTGAATGGGTGAGACCTGACCAGTCCTCATAGTTGAGGCTGTCCCTGAGGTCAAATGGTTGCAATTTGGCCCACAATTATGACATCACAGCATACTGCGGCCATGTGATTGCCATTTGCAAACTTCACTGCTGGTTTCCAACAAACAAAGACAGTCGGAAGCTGGTAGGAGGTCTCAAATGGTTACCACATCCTTGCTTTAATAACCATGTGGAATTCACTTAATATTGGCAGCTGGAACTAAGTGGCAGGATCACATGACAATTACATTAGTAAAGTATGGACTACCTCTACGTAACTCTCCATGAGCTTAGTAAAACCATCTGCTGCTTTTCCTGGGACTAGATCCTTTGCCTATTTTGTGGACAGAGAAATTGAGTGGTGATTTCTCTAGAGGAAATAAATGCTCTAACCATTTTTTAGAGGCAGGTTCCCTCCACAGTTGCACGGTGGGAGGAGGCTATGCGTATGTTTGCTTAGATCAGCGGTGTCCAACCTTGGCAACTTTTAAGACTTGTGTATTTCATCTCCTAGAATTCCCCAGCCAGCATGGAACGCTGGGAGTTGAGGTCCACAGGTCTTCAAAATGCCAAGGTTGGACATCCCTGGTTTAGATATTCATATACCAAACATTCTACTAGTTATACAACTTAATTATTTATACGACATATAAAGCATTTAAAATTCTAGAACAAAATCTGATGCTCTCCTTTGGGATTTAATAGCAATGTGGGAAGCCAGAGATTTTCAGATCTCTAGGGACATGATTGTTCAGTAAAAGACAGGATATTCACATGCACAACATTGGCCTCATCATTAAATAAGTACACAATGACTATTGTTCACTCTTGAGAGTTTGGACAACATTCTGTTCTGGTTTTTTTTTAAAATAAGTTTTAAAGCAAATTCCCTTTCATGCAAATATGGTTAATTTTGGGAATGCATATCATTTATTTAGGTTTCAGCAGACCTGCCATCTCTCAGAACTTCTGGAAATAAACATTCTCTCCATCTCTCTTTGTATATAGGCTGTTCTATATAATGACCGTTCTGTTCTGGAGAACCATCATGCGGCGGCTGCATGGAATCTTTTCATGTCCAGGCCAGAATATAATTTTTTAATCCATCTTGATCATGTGGAGTTCAAGCATTTCCGCTTCCTTGTCATCGAGGCCATTTTGGCCACTGATCTGAAGAAGCACTTTGATTTTGTAGCTAAATTCAATGCCAAGGTAAACATGATCCCTGTGTCTTATTAAGGTTCTTTATATAAGAGCCTAGAAAATCATCAAAGGGATAAACATGGAATAAATGGAAGGGCTTAATCATGCAATGTTGCAAGAATAGTAATCTGGAACCAAGCTACTCACACTAGTAAAGAAAGAGTGTGGAGAAGAGTAACAAAGAGGGTTAGCAGCTTAAAAACTAAATCTTACGAAGAACAGCTAAAATGATTTGGTATGTTTAGCCTAAAAGAAAGGAAGGATATGCTATTTGTTTGTTTGTTTGCTTGTTTTTCCCAAAAGTGTTTTTTCAAAAGGCAACTGGACTGTTTTTTCTTGAAAAGAGTCCAGTTGCCTTTTGAAAAAGCACTTTTGAGACAATTGTGACCTGGATGACTGAGAATCTCCATAGACATATTTGTTTGTTTGTTTTTAAATTAAAAAACCACCCACTTGAGTGAGCTCCAGAATCACTTAACTAGTAAAACAACAGATCAAATTGGATTGCAAATAGATGTAGAAGTTTATAAAATTTAGGTCTGTTTCGCAATGGGGAAAGTTATGATTGCTGAGATATATTTGCCAGTATACAACTAAGGGGGTAATAGTATGTGTTTTTGTGGGTTTTTTTTTTTTGTCTTCTCATCCAAGAAGCTTTTTCAGTTCTCAGTTCTGAAGAAGCTTGTTGGATGAGAAGCGAAACATCTTCAAGGAAAAACAAAGGAAGTCCAGTTGCTTCTTGAAAAAGCAGCTTTGGGACATAGAAGGAAAAGTTACATAGTGGAGGGAAGAATAAGAATGAGAAAGTCAGTCAAATCCAAATTACTGTGGTGGGCAGATGTTAGGGCTTCCTTGAAGTTAGCCTTTCTCCAGCAGATTCCCCGGTAGATAAAGTGTTCTTCCTTCCTTCCAAGTTTTATCAGAAAGGAGCTGCAACCAAGAAGATTACAGATAAAAGAATAATGTTATCAAGTGCAAGACTATCGTATTCCATAAAGAATCTGAAGAAGCGTGATTCAGATAACACAATGAGAGAATAACAGAATTGGAAGTGACTTTAGAAGTCATCTAGTCCAACCTCCTGCTGAAGCAAGAGACCCTATACCAGGGATGTCAAATTCAAGGCCCATGGGCCGGGGTGCTTAAATCTGGCATGTAGGGTCGGCCTGGAAATATCAAAGGACCAGCCCGCTATGCCTCTGGTGGCCAAAATGGGGCACATGTGCCCGCCCCCCGTGGCCCATTTTTAGGTTCCCTATCTTCCAGCAGCACTCTGCCAGCCAAAAATGGGCCCGTCTCCCCCCGCACTCCCTCCCAGCCACCTGGCCCTCAGAGGATAACTACAATGCTGATTCGGCCCTATTTTGGACAAATAGCTGCCCAGTCTCTTTTTAAAAATCTCCAGTGATGGAGCACCCACAACAGAACCAAAGCAGAATCAGATCTGATTAGTACATGTATGGGAGGAAGACCAGAAATTGCTAGGGCTAGAAGCTAGATAGAGAAGTTTAAAAAGAAAAAGATGGTAGTAATAAAGCAGTATAGTGGTACACCAAGGAAATGCATAATACACCCAAATAATAATCCCTACACAGGAAAGGGTTCTTGTGCAATATACATCATGTTCACCTTTGGAATTGCATTATATGTTTTGTCACAACAAAGTAATACGTTACCTGCCAGGTGAATGACGATGCAGGCATTGATTGGACAAACGAGAACGACCGATTATTGGTTTGTCAGATGTGCATCAAACTGGCCGATATCAATGGTCCAGCCAAATACAAAGATTTACATCTAAAGTGGACAGACGGCATTGTGAATGAATTTTATGAACAGGTGAGAAGATACAATTGCTGTGAACAACTTTTTTTTTAACTACCTTATGAATAATGCCTATCATTTTAGTCTTTAGTTTATTTTCTAAGTTTTGAGAATGGCAGGGACTTTGCTTTGGGCAATTCACAATAACAAAGGCAAATTATTTCCATAAACCATAGTAAACCAGTTCCTCATAATCCATTCTTCTAAATAATCAAATGTTTTACTTCCGTGTTTCAAAACTTTAAAATGCAAAAAAAAAAAAAAAAAGAACAACCCCAAAACAAAACCCACCCAAAACAAAACCCACATCTAAGCATGACTTAGATGTCTTTTAAAAAAAACCTCATCCATTATGTACCTTGATCATATAATGGATTTGTTGCTCTGGTTAATGTCTCTTTTCTTTTTTAGGCTGGTTTCTTTCCTTGTAATCAAAAGTAGTTCCCTGAACAACCTTCCAATGGTTTACAGTTCCATTTTTAAGAGATATTTAAGGTTACACAAGAGAGCCAGTTGTTCACACAACCCTTCTAAACTAGTTCTTGAAGTAACCCATTTTCAGTGTTCATACAATACTTTGAACTATACACTGGACAATGAGATGGAAAAAAACAAAACATCTGTGTTCAGATTATCACACATAGCCCAATTCCTGGAACAATCTGCTTCCTGGATCCATGTAACATATTGAACCATAAGCTGTCTTAAAAAGTTTGCAGAACGTACTAAAACACAGACATAAAAGTACCCCTAAGGTTAAAACTAATGGAGTTTTAATATGTCATTTGAATACAGATGCTTGGTCTTGTAGCAGTTTACTTTACCATGCATATAGCAATAGCACTTAGACTTATATACCGCTTTATAGTGCTTTACAGCCCTTTCTAAGTGGTTTACAGAGTCAGCCTATTGCCCCCCAACAATCCGGGTCCTCATTTTACCCACCTCGGAAGGATGGAAGGCTGAGTCAACCTGGAGCCTGGTGGGATTCGAACTGCCAAATTGTAGGCAGCCGGCTGCCAAAGTAGTTTGCAGTACTGCACTCTAACCACTCTTAACAATAATCTTTCTCAATCTGGCTCCTGCCAGGCCTTCTGGGATTCCAACCCCCAAGAATTCCCACCCAAGCAGTCCTGAATTTTGGAAATCTGGGACTATCCAACATAACACGTCTGAGGGTTGAGAAAGGGTGGCTTAGCCCCATCAGGGAACTGGAAATCAGCCCAATTGCCTTGGATTAATACAGTGCCTCCTGTTTCCCAAGGGTGATGAAGAAGCCAGCTTAGGTCTCCCCATCAGCCCTTTCATGGACCGCTCTGCTCCGCAGTTAGCAAAACTCCAAGAATCCTTCATCACTCACATTGTGGGACCCCTGTGTAACTCCTATGACTCAGCAGGACTGATGCCAGGTAAATGGATTGAAGACAACGATGAGTCAGGAGATACAGATGAACACGAAGAGGATTCCCTAGACATGGACTCCTGTGACAGCCATGAAGCAAGTACGTTTGTCCTAGGTTTTCATTTCATTTCATTTCATTTCATTTGCCTCTGGACTGCTGGTTTCCCAATAAAAATGCTGCAAGCCCACCACTGGTGGGATTCAATTTTTTTTTTACTACTGATTCTGTGGGCATGTCTTGGTGAGTGTGGCATGGCTTAGTGGGCGTGGCTTGGTGGGCGTGGCAGGGGAAGGACACTGTAAAATCCCCATTCCCTTCCCCACTCCTGGGGAAGGTTATTGCAAAATCCCCATTCCTTCCCCACCCTACTAACCTGCTTTCCAGCTCCATTCTCCTGTGCAGGGCAACCAAAGAAGACCCAGCCAATCAGCTGGGACTCAGGAGGCAGAAAATAGATGGGGGCGGGGCCAATCAGAGATGGTTTTTGCCAGTTCTCTGCACTACTCAAAATTTCCGCTACCGGTTTCCCCAGAACTGGTCAGAACCTGCTGAATACCACCTCTCATTTCGCAAAAAGTTACTCTGAGTCAAATTTATGGTTTGTGGCAAGGAAACCAACAAGATAATCGATGTAAAGCAACCTGGCAACATCCTCAGTGCTAATCTACTACCATAGCACTGATGATGTTACCTAGTTGGGTAATGAAACGTCTGCAAGAAAACATCCAAGCTCAGAGAGCACCGAAGACCCCTCATCTGGATTTCTTGGAAGTATGTTATGTGGGGTTTGGGGTTGTTCTTATAATTATCCGCATTGTCTGATCTAAGACACGATATCAAATTGTAAACCACAAATGGGCAACTACATCTCTAGATGCTGCTCTGCTCTGAGTGTCATATAAGTTATTACAAAAGACTTTTGGTAGCAAACAATTGAAAACTCCAGCAATTTATATATTTGCTGCCCAATCTAGCTTTGAAGTGACTCTAGGCAGCTTCCTTGCTGAGTGTGGAGTTAATCTTCCCCCTACTCTGGATAGGACACGAGCATGAACCAAACAAATTAAACTCCTCGGGAGCCAAACCACTACTTTGATCACACACTAGTATCCTGGCTAACATAACATCACAATTTATGAAATAAGTAATAATGATGGGTGACTTCCAACAATACCCAGTCCCATTTCGACACATGTACTTACTCAGTCTTTCTGCATGTTCTGTAACTTTGATTGAGTGACACACAAGTCAAAGCAGCATTCATTCATTCAAAATTATACTTTAAAAAAATCTGAATTGTTGGGGCAAAAATATCTACGTGGTTCAAATTCAGTCTTCCCAAGATCAAGCTTCGAGGTAAGAAATAGCGAGTTGTGTGTAATGTACTTCCTTGGTTTCTCCGCCCAGGCACTTCAATCTGTCTAGGTTAAAGACGACAATCACAAACCTATTTAGAATTACAGATTCAGGTGACCTTGGATGGGTAAAGTATTACTCACCAAAGGACAACTCTAGCAAGTCACAGTAGAAAACATGTCTGCAAACACCCCCAAGAAATAATAAGAAAACGGAATATTCTTCCTGGGAGATAGGACACGTACCACATGTCCATTTTTCAAGGTCCTCGCATTTCCAGAATCTCTCATCACATGATATGAACCAAAGGCAACAAATGGCGTTACAGTAACTCACAATGAGTATGTGTGAAATGATATCCAGCAAAATGTTTTGTTAGAATAGAATTCTTTATTGGCCACGTGTGATTGGACACACAAGGAATTTGTCTTTGGTGCATATGCTCTCAGTGTACATAAAAAATAAAATACATTCCTCAAGAATCATAAGATACAACACTTAGTGATAGTCATAGGTTACTAATAAGCAATCAAATCATACTAGGAAACAAATAAAACAATATAAATTGTAAGGATACAAGCAACACCCTTATAGTCATAAGTGGGAAGAGACAGGTACTAGGAAGGATGAGAAGAGTAATAGTAATACAGTCTTAGTAAATAATTTGACTGTATTGTGGGAATTAGTTGTTTAGCAGAGTGATGGCATTCAGGAAAAAAACTGCTTGTGTCTAGTAGTTCTGGTGTGTAGTGTCCTATAGCAAGGGTCTCCAACCTTGGCAACTTTAAGACTTGTGGACTTCAGCTCCCAGAATTCTTCAGCCAGCTGGCTGAGGCATTCTGGAAGTTGAAGTCCACAAGTCTTAAAGTTGCCAAGTTTGGAGACCCCTGCCCTATAGCATCATTTTGAGGATAGAAGTTGAAACAATTTATGTCTAGGATGTGAGAGGTCTGGAGATATTTTCACAGCCCTCTTTTTGACTCATGCAGTATACAGGTCCTCAATGTATACTGCACAATTGTGAATGGTTAAATGTGAATGGTTAAATTCAGTCATGTCCAATTTTGGGTAACATTATAGGCAAATGGTCTCTATGCTATTTTGTCAAGCACAGCTTTCAACTGATGGATGTTCAACATGATATCAGAGTTGATGTTATCAAGCCAACATGTTCTTGGTTTGCCCCTTCTCCCTTGTCCATTAGCCACTCCTAACATCATTGCCAACAAAATGTAGGATGTGATTAACGCCCTTCTGGCCTCTCTGAAGCCCTGCAAAGTATGGGAGGGGATATCTCCCAGGAAACCAGAGAGGGTATGTTTTATTATGGAAGGCTGGTTCAGAATTGAAGTTCCTTCTGATTAAACCTGGAGGCTTCCTACAGGGAATGGAAAGTTTTTTCTAAGGAAGGATTGAACTGGATTTGGGCTGTCCCACAGTGAAAAGCTCTTTGTTCGAAGTTGAAAAACTTGAAGGACTCAAGAGTTGGGCTTCCAAAGTGCTAATCTAAGCACACATTTCTTTGACACAAAACATTCCTCGGTAATACTTCCTCCCTAACGGTTTTGTTTCCTTTTATTCAAACTTCTGGGGGGAAAAAAGTTCATCATGCAAGTTAGTAAAGACAGGAATGCAGATCTGGGGAGCGGTAGAATCCAAGTGTTTTACAGAATCTTAGACGAAAGCATGAAAAACCCTTTCACCAAGCAGAAGCAGTTTCTATGCAGTTCAATCCGAAGGGGTCCTCCTGATCTAGAAAGGGCCTGGCATATTCACAGCGCCAGAATGTAAACCTTTTGAAGTCGTAGCTTAATCAGCTGAAACTTTAGTTTCTGGTTAACTTAATTCATTTAATTGGTTTCCTTTGCAGGGGTTGGACTAGATCAGGGGTGTCAAACTCAAGGCCCACGGGCAGGATCTAGCCCGCAGGGTGCTTAGATCTGGCCCGCATGGCGGACCTAGAAACAGCAAAGGACCAGCCCGCTGCGTGCGGCCCTCCCAAGCTCCATTTTGACTGGCAGAGCGTTGCAGGAGGCCGAAAACAAAGTTTGGGAACCCGTTTTTGCTGGCTGAACACTCAGGCCACCACAGGCATCCCCAACACGAGTGACGTCGAGCTGGCCATGCCCACTTTGGTCACACCAACCCCGCCCCCCCCAAGGTCAAATATAACCCTGATGAGGTCCTCAGTGAAATCAAGTTTGACACCCTCAGACTAGATGATCCTTGCATTTGTTTCCTCAACTCCTTAGTTCCATGTTATTGTATTTGACTGATAAGTATTGGTCAGTTGGTAAGATTGGCAAGAGATTAATAGGCTGGGCATTGAGGGCAAAGCAAGGTCAAACATGGGACAATAAAAACATGTCATGACCTCATCACCCAAAAGTTAGATACAGGAACGGGAAAGATGTGTATCCATTGAAACTGGTTGTTTCATGCCAGACATACAAATTGCTGCTGGGCTTTTTTTCACAATTCATTTTGTGGTGGAAGGTAGACTGGAGTCCCAGGAGGGAGGGTCTGTTTCACAGAGGGCAAAGAGGCAGCAGAGCTTGGATAGTCTGGTAGGTAGGAAGAGGGTTAAGACAGTCCCTCCCTAGCAATCCAGAGTATATCTGTAATTATGTAGAGAATTGCTTTAGTCTGGCAAGATTCTGTCTGTAGGTGAGAAACAATAAAGAGCCTACTCAGAAGTAACTCCACATGTCATTGTTGGTTTCTTGGGGCCTGACAATTTTGCTGAATTGTATTCAAAATTGGCAACAACTTTTCAGCAATATCCCTCCATCAAACTGTTCCCAACAGAGAAAACTATTCTAAGTCCTACACATGGTCCTTACTTGCTTTATTGCAGTTGGGCCCTGACTATTCTTTGTACGTTTATGTAGAAGTAAGCCAGTTTTAGTAGACTTTTCTCCCAATGTGAATGAGGCTTTATGTTTGCTTATTGCCTTTGGCAGGAAAGAAAAGGAGGAAAGTCTACTGCCAGATAACCCAGCACTTGCTGCAGAACCATCAGATGTGGAAGAAGGTCATTGAAGAGGAAGAGAGGAGAGCTGCAAAGGACAAGCAAAGTGGGGAGCCAAGAACAGCATTGCACCCGTCCTCTGAACAAATAGAGGCTATTAAAGAGGAGGAAGAGGAGAAAGGAAAGGCCAAAGAGGAAGAAGACAAAACAGCTTCAGAAACAAACCAATGACAGTGACAGGAATTTTGTACAGTATTTGGTGCAAGGACATCTTGCATACAAGCCAGCACAATGTTTAGACACAACACTGTAGAAATATGGGGTAATTCACCTACAGCTGTTTAAGTTTTCCTTCCTTCCTTCCTTCTTGCCTTTCTTCCCATGAGGTACATTGCTTTCACAGTTGAAACGGCCATTTTTACAAACTTTAAAATACATTGGAGAATTATATATACATAATTATATAAATTATATAAATTTATAATTATATAAATTATATAAATATATATATGGTATTCGGCTTTGTTCGGGTATTTTCCCATGTCATTATAGTTGTGCTTTTAAAGTTGTAGCAATGTTTCGGCAGAATCTCATCTGCCATCATCAGGCTTCTGTATTCTGTATCCTCACAGACGAACACAATACAGAAGCCTGATGATGGCAGATGAGATT